GCTTGAGATAAGGGCAGAGTTTACAAATGAGAAGGTAGATGCGTTTCCCTCACCCTCTATGACGGCAGCAACCGTTCTGTATGCAGCAGGGAAAGATCCAGTGAAGACATAGTGATTAGTAACAGCAGTGATCTCTATCTGAAGTGTTAGATGCAAGAAAGCAAAAGGCAAGGGATATAATGAACAGAGCTTGGACAGTATCGCTATTTTAACAGAAAGCACTGGAATAATAGTGGTTGTGATGGTTTCCGGGGAGAGGAAACACAACTTCTAAAAAATCAGAAGAAGATGGTGCTAGAGCAGAAATCAAAGGAATCCAAATGCTAAATAGCAAAATGGATGAATGAAATGTTCAAGTGGAGCATGAGTCAATATTCTGAAACTGACCATTCATTCTAAAATACACTTGACTACACTGCATATACTTATGGTGCTTTCCGTTAGTTTTAGAGCTATTTTTGAGTCCTTGGAACATATAAAAATGAGTATAATTTCTCATAATTTTGCAAGTCTTCTGTTTCGTAATTCACACTGTGACATGAGTGTCCATTCATTTCTAGGCTGTTGGGGTTTTTTTGTTCTTTTAAACAACTACTGTGTTTCTGTATCAGATACCTATGTTTTTCCATTTATTCTTAACATAATACTACTTGATACTGCTGTGCTCTACATTACCTATGTACTACTCTAATCAGTGGAAGCATCACAATTCATATAAGAACATACAGTGATACTAACTGCTATGTTAACAATTCAATAAAAAATGAACAAGCAAGTACATACCATACCTGTAAACCCAGTATATAGACCAGTGTCTTGTTTGTGATAGAAAAGTGGCCTAATACTTGTGTCACCTGCACTCTTGGAATGGAGCAATAAAATGGTACAAACAAAGCAAACACAGGACCCAAGCTGCAAAAAGAAAGACATAGATGGTTAACAAGAATATTAGCAATAATAATGTTAAACAATATAAAGTAATTAATTCTATGCACATAACAATCAAAGCGTAATACAACCTTGCAAATCAAGGTCTTCCCTGGGAAGACCTAGGCAATTAATTATGTTCAGTATAATAGATTCCACAGCAAAATAATAATATGCAATCATGTGGCAATTATCTTTGCAAACAAGAAACAGGTGACAAAACGTATCTTATTTCCCAATGTTCATGGTGGAGGTAACACAGAAGGCAACCTTTTTACTCTATATAGCAGACTGTTTCTATAAAACACAGCATCCAAAAAAGAACAGCAGTAGTCATCTGTAACAGAGCAAAACCTCTTTGACCCAAAGAGACAAATGAAAAGGATTATACATATTCCAAAATATAATGGAACCTGTGAGCACCTTATAAAGTTATACTCTTATTATTCACCCACACTTAAGGTATTACAAGATCGTCAACACACTGCAATATCACTGCTCATAAGAAGACTGCAATGCTGACAGTTTCACTTAATGTCCCTCTGCCAGTGACTTCCACAGCCCTACAACCACCATTCTTTAGGATTCTCACCTTAATCACAGCGCAAGATACTAAGTTTCCAAATACTTTTCAGGGTCAGTTTCACAAAATTTAAGATTTGAGCACCTTTTACAACGACCAGACCATCCAGATTGAAATTATGAGCATGAACTAATGCATTTCATGCATATCCCTAAATACAAAGCCTGTGTTCTTTACAATAAAACATTTCAGTTTCCAGGAAACTAAACCACATGTTACAAAGAACACGAGAGACCACTGAAGAATCAGTGCCAAAGGCATGGATATGGGAGATTCTAGAAGATAAAAAAAATCCTAGAACGGAGAGGAGGATTAACAAAAAAACGGTCACTTCTAACAATGGAAAATGACTTTAGATTCTAATTTGGGGTCCGGCACATCTACAAACAAGACACACTATCAGCTGCTTAAGGCTACAAAGAGAGCTCCTTTGCCCAACTCTGCAAAAGCTTAATACCCTGGCTGATACTGGCAGAGCAGACCATTAAGTCCAGACACAAAGTGCTTCGCTGGCAGAGCTGTGGCAGTGATAACTTCCAGGCAATAAGCTACAGCTAACAGTCAGGGGAGGCGACCCACAAAATGTACATCTACCCCAGCTTAATCCTGGCTGGTTATTCTGGGCCGCCTTGTGTCTGATAGAAGCTGGATACCATAAAGGATAATTTTACGCTGCTTACCAACTTAGGAAATGTTTCAAGGCCTAGTTTTTACACTCAATGGGAATGCTACAAACGGTATCAACCACGACTTGCATAACTCAAGAGTGTTCACTCAAAAACACATTTTCCTCGAAGAGGTTCTACTGATGGCAGTAATACTATGTGAAATGATGGGCTGAATATTCAGACTTTCGCTTCCTGAATAACTGCCAAATACGATACTCACAACTATGAAAAAAATGATTAAATATACAGTTCAAATGTTATTTTTACTCATTTAATGGGCAATGACTTAAGACTGCTTCCTTACCATTGGTTTCTTATATTTGAAGTTCAGCTTGCTGAAAACCTCCGCCCCTAAGGACTTAAATGAAGTTTACTCAAAGGAGATCGAAACATTTTTAGTAGCATCTGTTTAGCAAACTGTAAGATGCATGTGAATGCAGAGAATGCTAACTCTAGAATTACTGAAAATAAATATATTTCAATTTTGCATATAATCTCCCTATATAAACAGATTGCACCTGTATAGACAGTTGCACAATAAATTCTTTGCACAAATTCAAATGATTTGAGTTGCAGGAGTTCAAAGGCAGAGCTACAGCAGTAGTACATACAAAAATAATTCTTCATCAGAATTGCTTCTGTTGCAGCCAGACAATATTCAATGAAGCAGACCAGTTTTATAAGTGAAGACAGAGAAAAAACAAAGAAAAATCTTTTCCTCTCTTAGAAAAATAATTTTATGTGTTTTCTGTTTATGGAATTTAATTCTTTCTATTCTTACCAAATGACTTCAGGGAGTACCAAAATCGTAGCATGCTTTTCAGGTTTTATTCCTCCTGTGATAAATAGTGGCTCAAACTCAGAGATTTTACATGCAAGAGTGCACTCAATCATAAGATAGGACATTACAAAAAGGAATTTCCCATGACTACAACTGTGTTTAAAAAGAGATAATAAAAGGTTGAAAGGTTCCTTAAATGTTAATATTCACCACTTATGCCAACAACAAAACACAAGACACCATCCCAGATCAAGGTGGTGATTCATATGACTCAAAAGTCCTGTATCTGAAACCGCTCACTACCTGACAAACTAGAGGAGCTAAAGGAAACATAAAAATTGACTTTTTTTCCTAAAGTAGTAAGTAACTAGACACCCAGACAGACTTGTGCCTGCAAAGACATGTTTGTTTCTTAAAAAGAGTTCACTTCTAGTATAATCAGGTATTACACAGATATCCATACAGGCTTTTTTTTTTTTAATATCTAAACTAGCACTCCTTAAAATATTTCCTGGAAGTCATTTCCACAGGTTAATCCACTGCTTGAAAATTCTTTCCTTTTCATTATATAATTCTGTATTTCAATTTATCTTTTCTGTTCTGTTCAGAACCTTCCATGTATTAATCATGCCTTGTTTTAGAATATATGTGTAGATGCTGCTCGACTCGACTGGGTCTTCCAATGAACTTATCTATGAAACAATACTAAAATATGACATACAAGTGCATGGGCAGCAAAGGGAAAGCTAAGGAAAATGCAGGCCTGCTGCTCATTGGAACAAGGGACCTAGCGCCAAAGAACACAGAAGAGGCTGAGGTACTCGGTGCCTTTTTTGCCTCAGTTTTCACTGGTAAGGTTTGCTCTCTGACCTCCCAGGTCCCTGAGCCTCCTAGCAGGGTCTGTGGGACTGAAGCTGTACCCACGATAGAAGGAAGATAGTTAGAGAACACCTGGGCCAACTGGACATACACAAGTCAATGGGACCAGACGGAATGTACCTCAGGGTGCGGAAGGAGATAGCCAACATTACTGTTAGGCTGTTCTCTGCATCTTTGAAAAATTATGGTGATCGGGGCAGGTTTCTAATGACTGCAGAAATGCAAATGTCACACCCATCTTCAAGGAGGAAGCTTCAAGTAGTTACAGTCAGTCTCACCTCAGTCCCTGGGAAGATTACAGGGCAAATCCTCTTAGAAGCCGTTCCCAGCCATATGAAAGACAAAGTGATTGCTAATAACCAACACTGATTTACCAAGGATAAATCATGCCTGACTAACCCGATTTCTTCCTCTGACGAGATGACTGGCATTGTGGACAAGGGGAAGGTAGCGGATGCTGTGTACTTTCACTTTGGCAAGGCCTTTGATTCAGACTCCCATTGCGCCTTCAAGCAAAACTGGGAAGATACGGACTGAATATGTGAACGCATGTCAGGACTGGCTGCACTGCTGGACTCAAAAGTTCTAAACAGCAGTACAAAGTCCAAATGGTGGCCAGTTACTATGAGCATGCCTCAGGGATACATACTGGGACCGATATTATTTCATGTCTTTATTAATGACTGGGGCAATGGAATAGAGTACACTCAGCAAATTTGTGAAAGATGGCAAATTGGGGAAACAGTCAATACACTGGAGGGCAGAGCTGCTATTCAGACACACCTTGATGGGCTGGAGAGAAATGAGCTGACAGAAAACTCACAAAGTTCAACAAAAGCAAATGTGGAGTTCTGCACCAGGGTTGGAATAACCACATGCAACTACACAGACTGGCTAGACAGTAGATTGGCAAAAAAGAACCTGGGAAAACCTTCAAACTAATATTAGTAAGCAGCCGGCCCTGGCAGGGAAGAAGGACAATTCCATACTGGGCTGTTCTAGCAAGTGTGTAGTCACCAGGTCAACGGGAACATCATTCCCTTCTGTTCAGCACTTCTCAGAGTGCACCTGGAGCAGTCTGTGCTGTGTCCAGTTTTGGGCTCCACATTATAAGAAAGGCATTCACCTACTGCAGCAAGTTCAGCAAAGGGCAATGATGCTCCGGTACTGGACCAGGTTGCCCAGAGAGCAAGAATCTCCATCCTCAGATATATTCAAAATTCAGCTGGACACAGGCCTTAGCAACCTCCTCTAGTTAGATCTGCTTTGAACAGCGGATTGGACTACATGGCTGCCCATGATCCTTTGAAACCTAAACTGCTCTATTACTCTGTGAATAACTAACGCCTTGTTCCTGAAGCTCATAGTCACTGGAGGGATTTCTGTTCCTATATTTGACTGCACACAGAATCACAGAATCACAGAATGGTTGAGGTTGGAAGGGAGATCATCTAATCCAACCCCCCTGCTCAACTGCTCTCATCTAGGGCACATTGCCCAGGATCGTGTCCAGGCGGGTTTTGAATATCTCCAGGGAAGGCGATTCCATAACCTCTCTGGGCAACCTGTTCCAGGGCTCAGGCACCCTCAAAGGAAAGAAGTTACTGAAGAAGTTAAGAGGATCCCCCCTATCTTTCTCTTTTTCATTCTAAAATATCCCAATTCTCTTAGCTTTTTCTCATATGACAGATACTCCCTTAATCATCTTTGTGGCCGTTCACTTGACTTGCTTCAGTATGTCCATATGTCTTTTGTGCTGGGAAGCCCAGAAATGGGCACAGTATTCCAGATGTGGGCTCATCAGCACTCAGCAGAGGGGAAAGATCACCTCCCTCGACCTGCAGGCAAGAGTCTTCCTAATACAGCCCAGGATGCTGTTGGCCTTTTTAGCTGCAGGGGCATATTGCTGACTCATGTTCAACTTGGTGTCCACCAGTTATTTTATCAGTTATCTGATAAGGAAAGATGGGAGAAGGGGAGAGTTATAGACACCACTCAGACAGCAAAGCAGGGCTCAAGTGGGGATACCTCCAGCAAGTCTATGCAGTCAAGGAAGTGCCAACAAGACACGATT